GCCTTGCAGTGGTCAAGGCGAGGTGATTTCACTAAGGCGCGATTAAAGCACATGACTCGAGCTAGGCGCATTTAAGCCCAAGGCACAGGCCTTGAAGGCTTTTTTTTTTTTTTTTTTCATACAAATTGGACCACCAAGATTTCATGGGTCAGCTACAGTAGATTATTTCCTTCAAATATACTTGAAGATTTAGCCCAAATCAGCGACGACGAAAGAAACACCAAGCCCTAATCCAAATCTCCAAAGAAGTTCTTCTCTTCCAGTCATCTTCCAGCGCAGGCCTCAGTCGTCTTCCAGTCCAGGATGTCCAGGTATGTTCTTCTCTTTGTTTCTTTGTCCCTTCTTCCCCTTCTCTCCGTCTGTTCTCTCCGCCTACTTGTTCGTCAGTCTTCTCTATCTTCGTCTTCTTCTTCTTCTTCTTCTTCTTCTTCGTCTGTTCTTCGTCTTCTTCTCCTTCGTCTCTTCGTTAGTTCTTCGTCTGTTCTTCGTCTCTTCGTCTCTTTTTTGCTTATATTATACCTATCCGCCTTCTTCTTTCTCTTTTATTTTTCGCTTTTCTTTTTTCTTTTCTTTTTTTTGGCCTTCTCCTCATTTGTTTGAACCTTTTTTTTTATTATTTGAACCTTTTTTTTTTAATTCTGAATTGCTCTGTTTCTTCTCTACTTCTATGATTTAGATGGCATCTAAAAGTACAGGAAAAGATCCTGCATGGAAATATGCACATCAGTTAGATCCTAAGAACCCAAATCAATTCAAGTGTAATTTTTGTGGTAAAGTATCTAATGAAGGGGTTTATAGAGTCAAACAACATCTTATTGGAGGTTCAAGGAATGTCACAACTTGTCAAAAATGTCCACCTGATGTTAAGGAAGAGATAAAAGAGTATATGGGAAACAAGAAAACACAGAAAGAGCAAATGAACTTGTTGCCTCATTTTGATGAGATGAACAATGATCTTGAAGAGGATGAAGATGACATTGCTTTTGAGATTCATCGACCTCGTGGACCAAGTGGTAAATCATTGCCAAGCAATCAAAGTAATTCTTTTGCTGGATCAAAAAGGTTGAAGAAGAAGGGGCCCATAGATGTATTCTACACACCCAATCCTGATTTTGTGGTACAAAATAGCAAAAGGAAAACAAACAACAATTGATCACAATGATCCGTATAAGAAAGAATTAAGAGACCGAGCAGTGATAAGAATCACAAGGTGGATGTATGATGCAGGTATAGCTTTTAATGCAGTTAGTTATGATAGCTTTGGACCAATGGTTGAAGCTATTGGGCAGTATGGTCCTGGTATGAAACCTCCCAGTTTCCATGAAGTGCGGGTTCCATTCTGAAGAAAGAGTTGAATCGTACAAATTAGTTGATGAGAATTCATAAAGAGGAATGGGTGAAATATGGGTGTTCCTTGACGTCAAATGGATGGACTTCGCAAAATGGGAGGACTTTGATTAATTTTTTAGCCAATTGTCCTAGAGGAACTATGTTTGTTGAGTCCATCGATGCTTCAAGCTATTCAAAGGATGGGCAAAAACTCTTCGAACTACTTGATAAGTTTGTGGATGATGTTGGAGATGTTAATGTAGTCCAAATTATCACAGATAGTGCCTCAGCTAATGTGTTGGCTGGTAATAATCTTTTGTCTTGATTCTTAAAAAATATGTACTTACTAGCTAGTTAGTTAGTTAGTTTAGTTGTTATTAAATAATCTTCTGTGTTTTGTTTCTATAATTTTAAGTAGGTAAGTTTTTGGAGGCAAAGAGACCGCACCTCTTTTGGACACCATGTGCAGCTCACTGCGTGGATTTGATACTGGAAGATATTTTCAAATTGCCACATATGAAGAAGACATTTGACAGGGCTATTCGGGTACACGGTTATATTTATAATTGTCCAGGTGTGTTGAATATGATGAGGATGTTTACACAGTTAAAGAATTTGGTTAAGCCTGCAAAGACAAGATTTGCAACAACCTTTCTCACTCTATCTAGGATTCATCAACAAAAAAACAACTTGAGAAAGATGTTCACTTCGGAGGAATGGACAAGCTCCAAATGGGCAAAGGAGCCAAAGGGAAAACAAGCAACACAGATTATGTTGATGCCATCATTTTGGAATTTGGTTGTCTATGCTCTAAAGGTCTCAAGTCCACTTGTGCATGTGCTTAGGTTGGTTGATTCTGAGAAAAAACCTGCCATGGGATACATTTATGAGGCTATGGATAGGACTAAAGAAAGTATTGCAAAGTCATTTAATGAAAAAGAAGAAAAATACAAGAACATCTTTGAAATCATTGACAATAGGTGGAATATCCAGTTGCATCAACCTCTTCATGCAGCTGGCCGTTTTTTGAATCCGGAGTTCTTCTATTGTAATCCAAGTATTGAGCATGATACTGAAATCATGTCAGGGTTGTATAAGTGTGTGTCAAGGTTGGTTCGAGGCACTGACATTCAAGATAAAATCACTCAAGAAATGAGTATTTATACAAAATCTGAAGGTCTCTTTGCGATGCCACTAGCAATTAGACAGAGAATGACAAGGGCACCAGGTAATTCATTTTACACCATTGACTTTTTCATGCCTCTAGATTAAATCAAAAGTTTCTAGTTGTGCTAAAATTTGTTGCAATTTACAGCGGATTGGTGGTCTGCATATGGTTCTTCAGCTCCAAATTTGCAAAAGTTTGCCATAAAAGTTCTTAGCTTAACCTGTAGTGCATCTGGTTGTGAAAGAAATTGGAGTGTATTTGAGCATGTGAGCATCTACCTCAAGTTTGGTGAATTCCTTTTTTTTTTTTTTTTCCTTCTCATATGGTAAATTTTAATACATTCTCTTATTCTTGTAGCTCCACAACAAAAAAAGAAATAGGTTGGAACAACAATGTCTCAATGATTTGGTATTTATTAAGTACAATAGACAATTGAGACGTCGATATGATATGCGTGACACACTTGATCCCATCACTTTAACAAATATTGATGAAAGCAATGAGTGGTTGGTTGGGAGGATGGATGGAGAAGAGGATGAAGATAACGATAATGTGTTTGATGATGAAAGTTTGACGTGGGGTGATGTTGCTAGAGCTTTTGGTGTTCGGGAAAGAAATAAGCGAACTAGATCAACAACTTCAAAGACACCATCAGCGTCGAGGGCAAGGCCAAGGGGTTCTAGATCATCAAATGCATTGATAGATGAGGAAGAGGTAGATTCAGAGGAGACAGAAGAGGAAGATGTAGAAGGATACAAATCCAATGATGAAGAAGAAGATTATGAATTGTGTGCTGTTGATATTGAGGATGATGACGATTGTTAGATCCTCATTGGATAAATGGAAGCAAAGACTTTATGTTTTGTTGGTTTAATTTGTTGATGTTTTGAAATGCATGCTTAAACTTGAAATATTGTTATTAGTTAACCTTTAGATCATGGATATTCGCGTTTTATGTTTTGAAATGCATGCTTATACTCATTTGTCTATGTTCAAATAGCGATATTTGTTGGTATTTAGTTTTTAAAATGTTCGATATTGCATTTTGTTTATGTTATACCAGTTAGTTATTTGCTTATATGTCTCATATTAAATTATATTATTTTAACTTGCCATGGTGCGCCTTACTTCGATAAAGCCCGCGCCTCGCCTTGCGCCTTGCGCCTAAGGCCTCAAGAGACCTTGGCGCCTTGGTGCGCTTATCGTTTTTAATAACACTGGACATTGGTAAGGATATGGGATATGTGTCCGAGCTCATACCCAATTTAGACACTCAGATCCTTTAATTTGTGACAATACATGAAGAAGAAGAAATTCATTTTTGTTAGTAAAGCAATATTTTTAGCCTCCCACATAAATTAGATATAGAAATTTCATATTTTTTCTAAATCATATTTAATTTCTAATATATTTCTACATAATTTAAAACATCTCATCTGAGAATATTATATAATATGCAATATATATGTGCATATGGCGTGTCCCCGTACCCATATCCAATTTTGGATATGTATCCTAAGATCCTAAGATTTAAATTTATGAAAGTCTGACGCTTGGATATACATCCATACCTGACACTCGTACCCGAGTCCATGAAAATATCAACTTCTTTTTTTTTAGCTTGTTTAAGTTATTTCTGTGTAATAAGCTATAAGTAAGGTTTTAAAAAGTGACTGCAACTGTTACATAACGTCATTACATATTTTGGGAAGATGATTAAAAGCTGACTTTTTGGCTTTTTTTGTTTTTTTTAAAAAGACGTGCAAAAAATGTGAGAGATGATGTGACCCAAAATGGGTTAAAAGCTGCAAGATGGCTTTTAGCCATCTTTCCAAAGTAGCCCTACGTAACGGTTGTGGTGGTTACTGCCACCCCTTATGGCCATTATAGTTGTGTGACAGAAATTCACAGCTGTAATGGATGCCATCATTACGTAAAGGCCGTTACATTGCCGCTGCAGCGTGGTTACGGCTGTTACGACCGGTACGCTTGTATTTTTATTTTTTTATGATAAATTTTTATATTATTTTTTTTTCTAGTTACATAGAACTTAAGTAAAAATCTTATCTATACGTGTTTTTGAATGTCCAATCTTCAAGTTCTACAAAATTTCATTACTTTCTTAATCATATTTGAATATTAACTTATATCTATTTCTCTTATATTAAATTTATTGAACTAAATTTAGATTTCATGTAATGTACTTGTACATTATTATGTTGACATTTTGTATTTTGAACTTATGTTTATGAGATTATCATTTTTAATATTAGCCATACTTCATTTTTTTTCTTAACAAAGTGGAAGTTATCCATAAGTGTAATTAGTAAAGCAAAGTAAATAAATCCAACAATAGGAAAATTCTTCATAGCGACTTAAAACTAATATTAAAATTAGTATAAATATATTGGATCATGTTTTAAAACTAAACAAAAATACTAAGATTCATTTTGAACCCAACAATAGGAAAATTCTCCATAGCGACTTAAAACTAATATAAAAATTAGTATAAATATATTGGATCATGTTTTAAAACTAAACAAAAATACTAAGATTCATTTTGAACCCAACAATAGGAAAATTCTCCATAGCGACTTAAAACTAATATAAAAATTAATATATATATAGTGGATCATGTTTTTAAACTAAACAAAAATACTAAAAATCATTTTAAATCTCGCTAAATGTCATTCTGAAATAAAAACATGCATATCGGTGTGTTTTTCTAAAGTTGTGAAAAGAATTAAAAATTTCACAGTTCTAGCCGCCACCGTTACGCTATGACCATTACACCCTGCAACCTCGTCAACGCTACCGGCACCGTTACGGTAACCACCACCGTTATTTAAAACCTTGGCTATAAGCATAAGATGCATCAAATAGTTTGGCACAAACAAAATATCAGCAACTCAATTAAGTTGCACCTAACAACCCAATAGAGAGAATAATTTGCAAGAAAAAAGAGGTTTTTTCAAAAATTAGGATTTTCCTTTTAATCACATGTTTTTATACTAATAAGTAAATAAATACGAAAATACCCCTCAACTCATAACTTCACCCGGTCAAGTTGGTGAATAGATATTTCTCATGCCTAACTTGTCCACAATGGGATGAAAACCATATTAGTTAGCTCAGTGTTATTAAAAGCGCGCCTAGGCCCAAGTCCCATCCAGGCCTAAGGTTTGCGCCTTGTAGTGTTCCAAGCTAGGCGACTTCAATAAGGCGCGCCTAGGTGTGCGCCTTGGCCCAAGTCCCCGTCTAGGCCCAAGGTTTGCGCCTTCTAGTGTTCAGGCGTGCTTAGGTGTGCGCCTAGGCCCAAGTCCCGTCTAGGCCCAAAGTTTGCGCCTTGTAGTGTTCCAAGCTAGGCGACTTCAATAAGGCGCGCCTAGGTGTGCGCCTTGGCCCAAGTCCCCGTCTAGGCCCAAGGTTTGCGCCTTCTAGTGTTCAGGCGTGCTTAGGTGTGCGCCTAGGCCCAAGTCCCGTCTAGGCCCAAAGTTTGCGCCTTGTAGTGTTCCAAGCTAGGCGACTTCAATAAGGCGCGCCTAGGTGTGCGCCTTGGCCCAAGTCCCCGTCTAGGCCCAAGGTTTGCGCCTTCTAGTGTTCAGGCGTGCTTAGGTGTGCGCCTAGGCCCAAGTCCCGTCTAGGCCCAAAGTTTGCGCCTTGTAGTGTTCCAAGCTAGGCGACTTCAATAAGGCGCGCCTAGGTGTGCGCCTTGGCCCAAGTCCCCGTCTAGGCCCAAGGTTTGCGCCTTCTAGTGTTCAGGCGTGCTTAGGTGTGCGCCTAGGCCCAAGTCCCGTCTAGGCCCAAAGTTTGCGCCTTGTAGTGTTCCAAGCTAGGCGACTTCAATAAGGCGCGCCTAGGTGTGCGCCTTGGCCCAAGTCCCCGTCTAGGCCCAAGGTTTGCGCCTTCTAGTGTTCAGGCGTGCTTAGGTGTGCGCCTAGGCCCAAGTCCCGTCTAGGCCCAAAGTTTGCGCCTTGTAGTGTTCCAAGCTAGGCGACTTCAATAAGGCGCGCCTAGGTGTGCGCCTTGGCCCAAGTCCCCGTCTAGGCCCAAGGTTTGCGCCTTCTAGTGTTCAGGCGTGCTTAGGTGTGCGCCTAGGCCCAAGTCCCGTCTAGGCCCAAAGTTTGCGCCTTGTAGTGTTCCAAGCTAGGCGACTTCAATAAGGCGCGCCTAGGTGTGCGCCTTGGCCCAAGTCCCCGTCTAGGCCCAAGGTTTGCGCCTTCTAGTGTTCAGGCGTGCTTAGGTGTGCGCCTAGGCCCAAGTCCCGTCTAGGCCCAAAGTTTGCGCCTTGTAGTGTTCCAAGCTAGGCGACTTCAATAAGGCGCGCCTAGGTGTGCGCCTTGGCCCAAGTCCCCGTCTAGGCCCAAGGTTTGCGCCTTCTAGTGTTCAGGCGTGCTTAGGTGTGCGCCTAGGCCCAAGTCCCGTCTAGGCCCAAAGTTTGCGCCTTGTAGTGTTCCAAGCTAGGCGACTTCAATAAGGCGCGCCTAGGTGTGCGCCTTGGCCCAAGTCCCCGTCTAGGCCCAAGGTTTGCGCCTTCTAGTGTTCAGGCGTGCTTAGGTGTGCGCCTAGGCCCAAGTCCCGTCTAGGCCCAAAGTTTGCGCCTTGTAGTGTTCCAAGCTAGGCGACTTCAATAAGGCGCGCCTAGGTGTGCGCCTTGGCCCAAGTCCCCGTCTAGGCCCAAGGTTTGCGCCTTCTAGTGTTCAGGCGTGCTTAGGTGTGCGCCTAGGCCCAAGTCCCGTCTAGGCCCAAAGTTTGCGCCTTGTAGTGTTCCAAGCTAGGCGACTTCAATAAGGCGCGCCTAGGTGTGCGCCTTGGCCCAAGTCCCCGTCTAGGCCCAAGGTTTGCGCCTTCTAGTGTTCAGGCGTGCTTAGGTGTGCGCCTAGGCCCAAGTCCCGTCTAGGCCCAAAGTTTGCGCCTTGTAGTGTTCCAAGCTAGGCGACTTCAATAAGGCGCGCCTAGGTGTGCGCCTTGGCCCAAGTCCCCGTCTAGGCCCAAGGTTTGCGCCTTCTAGTGTGAGCCAAAGCCTAGTAGAAATAATCTAACACAATATATGAATTTTAACAAAGATATGAGTGTGATATGCACATACAATGTCCGTAATAAAATCATTTGTAACTTTTTTGCAAAATCATATTATGTTGAACTTATATCTCGATCTATTTTATCTTCATTCACGAGTCATTTCCATTTCATTCAGACAACCAAACTGAGGATACAACTCAGTGGGTTTCTAACTAATACAGCCATCACACAAACACTTCTATTTGCCATTTTACGGATATTTCGTCTGCCGGAGTTGGCACCCATGTATACTCGTGATTTTTGGGACTTTCACTCTGGACACTCCGGTCAACTTAATTCAATGGAGTACATCTCCTTTCTTCTCCCAAACATAAAGTACAACCCATTTCTTTTCTCAAACATCATACATTTACAATGTATTAAAGATGTGACAACACTCAATGCAAATGGATGAGAAATTAGTTTCAATTCACCTAATTCTCATGCAATTTCTACAACAATCATAGCTATCCTCCACCGATAGCCTAAAACAAATATTTCTAAACAGATATTCAATCTCCAAGACAGATAAATTATCCAAATTTCAAAGTGTGAGTGGTAATACATAACCAACTCCACCACCCATATCAACAACCATCTATTTTAACATTTTCAATACCAATTCCATTTTATTTATACAAAATAAATATTTGAGATATTTTAGGGCAAACTCTATTTCCTTCCAAAATCCAACCCAAGTATCAAAATCAACAATTTTTTTATTACAACACAACCTCATATTCACCCCCATAACCATTTCCAATATATCCATTTGTAAACCCCTCTTTTGATTTTAAACCAAAACCCTAGGCTTGTTCAAAATCTACCAAAATCACAATATTGTTCATACAAAACAAATAGCTAAGTTAAAAACCATAGAAGAGTGTAGAAAATCCCTACCTCAAAGATAAAGATGAGCAAAGCAAGGAAAGAACTCGGGTGAAACCAAAACCTAACTCTATTTGGATGAAAACGTAGCCCTTGAGCTCTACCTTTTTAACAAAGACACACAAGTAGAGAAGCTACTAACTCTAGGTGAAAATGTAGAGAGAGAGAGAGGGAGCTTTAGAGAGAGAAGCTCTAGATCTAGGGTTTTTAGAAAGTTTAGAGACAGAGAGACATGAAAAAGTGATGCAAAAAGTAACTTTTACGGATTGATATATGCGTAATCCGCTTGAGCACAAGAAGTGACGCTCGAGTGTAAGACACAAAAGATGTGATTGCTCAAGCACAAGAAATTGATGCTCAAGCGTGAAATACAAACTCCCAGTACTTTTATAGACAGAAGACCAACGCTTAGCACAACAAGGGCCACTCGAGCCAAGACCGCTTGAGTGCAAGAAGATTCGCTTGAGCGAAGAATAACAACTCCCAGTAGTTTTTGTAGACCTGCAAAGCTAGGTCTGCAAAATTACTGAAAGTTTACAAAGACCGCTCGAGCGTAAGAAGTGACGCTTGAGCGTAGAAACAAAATTCTAGGCAACAAGATTTAAAAAAAAAAAACAAGGTACCAACCTATTCCAAACGCAACCAACACAACCCAAAAGCCAAACTCAAAGAGATATAAAGGAAATAAGGCATAAATGACTATACCAGACAATGAGACCCAGATCCAAAACATCAAATGGTTCGGGTTCAAAGCAGAATCACTATATATGTTAATGTTCATGTAACTAAATGTTGAATATAAAATTTTTATTTTTGAGATTATAGTTCAATAAGAAAGAGGGTGTTTGATTAATGTTATTGGTTAGTGATGAATGGTTTGGAATTAATTATGTTATAAGTAATGTCTTTACTATTAATTATTTGGGGGCGTTACAAATTGGTATTAAAGTTAATCAGGTTTGAAAACCTTTAGCTCATGGGAAGTGGCTAGCCCCATAAAGGGTAATTTTAGATTTTTGTCTCTCTCTCTCTCTCTCTCTCTCTCCCCAATTTGTGTAGAATCTATGGAGGCAACGTGAAAGAAAATGGTGAGAAACAAATGATGGGCTAACATTTTACAGCGACGAAACAATCGGTGTGGTATTCTGCAAAAATTTAAACAAAAAAAATAGTTTTAGTATTGTTTCATAAATACAGTGTTAAAAAACCTAATATGTTCACAAATTCATATTCGAACCAAACCAAAATGTTCAATGTTTTATATATGAACATTTAATACTACTTGTTCAACTTTAATAATAAATGTTTAACTCTGTGTGCATACGAAACAAATTAGCCATTATTGTAAAAATGAACAGCAGCCTTTGTTCTAAATCAATACAAACAAGACAAATAACAAAGTAAACTAACATTTTCATTGTTGTTTTGTTCCAAATCAATATCATCCATAGTATGTAAAACTTTAAAATCAATTAATTTCAATGTTTTAAAATCCTAAATCTTCCAAAACAATAATATTTTGAGTTTGAAAAATAATAGAAAAGAGATTTGTGCTAAGGGATGGTGTGTATAGAGATATTTGTATTTTCATATATGAATTGTTAAAATGAGTATATACACACTTATATTGTCTTTAATAGTCATTTTACTTGAGGATATTATTGTCATATAAATTTAATGATTAAATGGTGTGTACTGAGAGGATTGATGGCGTGCAAATAGAATTACCCAATAAAAAATAAGGGTCCAAAGTAAAACGGTGATTCCATTTATATTCCAATAATATCTTCCAATGAAATGACCATTAAGGACAACATGAGGTATATTCTACCCATTCAAATATTTCATATTTAAAAACACAAAATACTCTTCACACACCATCATTCCTATTGGGTTTAGGGTTTTAACATATAAATATTGTATTTCTTCACCATTAACATACACTTAGGAAATTATTTATTATCAATTAGCTCATTTCATTCTCTTCTCCATTATACTTGTTTTTCAAACTCAAAACATTATATTTGAAGATTTAGGGTTTAAGAATGTTAAAATCAATTAGTTTTGAAGACTTACACGCCATGGATGATACTAAGATGGTTTTTCGATATAAAAATTAAAAATGTTGATTTAAACATTGAAAAGATTAGTTTATGACTTAATTTTTTATTTATCTTATTCGTATGTTAGGAAGATGACATTCATCGTGTTTGGATAATCAGAGTTAAACTTTTACATAATGTTCGATTATTTTTATTTGAACAAAATAATTTTATTCAAATTATTAAGATTGACCAAATATTAAATATTCATGAATATAAGTTAGTTCAGTTAAAATAAATTAAACTTTAATTCATTGTTCAAATATAAATTTTTGAGCACATTAAGTTAGTTCAACTCTGTATTTATGAACGTGACCAATTTGATGAATTTGAAACGACGATAAGAGAGAAGAGTTCAAGACCAATGAAGATCAACACCGATGAAGATAAGGTGATCTGAAACGATGAGACGACAAGATGAGACACGATAAGAGTTTAACATAAACTATAGAGATCAACACCATTGAAGATGGAGGTTGCATGAAACCTTCGTCAGTGATGGAGATTAAGATCGACGAAAATGGTTTCTGTTTGGGTAAATTACACTTTGCACCGCTACATTTTATACAAAATCTCACTTTAGTCCCTACACATTAAATTGTGACACTTTACCCCAGCACTTTTGGTCAAGTATTACATTGGCATTTCTGTTAATAGTGAGGCTAACAGAAGTTATCTTTTAGGGAATTAAGTATCACAATTTTGATGTGTAGGGACTAAAGTGAGATTTTGTGTAAAGTGTAGGGGTGCAAACTATAATTTATCCTCATATGTTTTTCATGTAATTAACCTCTGTTAACAATGAGGCTAACAAAAGAGCCAAAGTGACACTTAACCAAAAGTACAGGGGGTTAAGTATCACAATTTGATGTGTAAAAGCCAAAGTAGAATTTGATGTAAAATGCAGGAGTGCAAAGTGTATTTTACCCTTTCTGTTTTAAAGATTGTAGAGATTTTTATTGTGTGTAGTGATGAAGATGAAGAGTGTTTAGTATGTGTAATGGTGTATTCAAATAGCTATTGATGTGTTAATTAAGATGTGAATTAAGATACTTTTAAACTCTTAAAATTATTTTAGAAATCTTATTTATCTTATATAATATATAGATGATATGTATTAAAAATATTAGAGGGGGGTAAATGGAATCACTCAAAATAAAAGTAAAAAAACAAACCGCAGGTGTTAACGGCCGCCAACAGTTTCAAGTGGGCAGATTTAATTGTACGGATCATGGATTTATTACTTGGGTTGAGTTTGCAACATCTACTCGGTCTATTAGGCACAGTCGTCGTCGTCAAATTTCCTCTCGTTGTCATATTGTCTCCTCTTTCGTCTTGCGTTTTTGAATCCTGTAAAGATGGCACACAAAATGCACAGCTTGGAACCCTAATTTTTGTAAAAAAACAATTGGAGAACCCTAATTTATCACTTTCAGCGTTTCGAAACCCTACATACAATGGACGACTCCGATTCAGAGATCGACCACAAGCTCTGTGGATTCTTGTGTTCGGTCCTCACAATGACTCCCCCACGAACACAAGACCTCTCAGAAACCCTGCCTCTCAACACTCGCTGTTACGTCTTCGGCGGCGATGGATCGGAGGTCGGCTTCCAGTCAGAAAACGGCGTGTTTTTATCAGTAATAAATGCAAACGCGAGGGCTTTGGTGTCAACATTGAGTGCACCGGAGTCGGGGGGGCTGGGGAACAATTCAGAGAGAGAGAGTGTGGTGTTGAGGAAGAAGTGGAGGAGAATTGGGCTTGTCCACGGGAGTGTGAGCGTGGTTCATCAGATTCATGCGTTGGTGATGCACAAGTGCTTGAAGGTAATTGGGAGGGTGGTAAGAGTCGTGGTTGGTAATTGTGGGGAAGTGAGGGTTGTGCTTCTGGTTGATGTGTATTTGCCGATAGCTCTTTGGTCCGGATGGCAGTTTCCCAAATCTGGATCAATTGCAGCAGCGCTGTTTCGCCATTTGAGGTGCGTATTTGTCACTGTTTGTTCTGCCATTTATTTAGTACTTGTTATTGTTCAATAAATGTATTTCCCCTTTTGTATGACCCTTTTTCCATTGGGTTTGTTTTTATTGATTGATGATAGCCAGTAGACCTTTGGGAATTTTGCTGATGAGCTATGCATTGATTTTACTCCTCTCTCTCTCTCTCTCTCTCTATATATATATATATATATTGTTTACTGATTTTTTGATTTTCTTACTAGTTATGTCTCGTTTGGGAACATGCTATTTTAGTAAGTTTTTTATTTTTTGATTAAAATATGAGAGGAAAAAAGACTAGTATATTTGGAATGACTTTTTAGTTTTTTACGAAAAGATATGTCAAAGTAGAAAGAAAATAAAATTTTTGACTTTTTGGTATTGTTTTTCTAGTTTTTTTAGTAATTTTTTTGGCTTTTAAGCTAAAATACTCTTGCATGCCAAACGAGGCCTTGGTAAGTTTGAATATTGTACATCTATACTATCTATGATCTATAATATATTACAATACTTAATACTATATTATAATGTCAGACCCTCAACTTGGTATGAACGAAAGGATGAAATTGTGTAACGGGGTTTTTGGTTCCCAAAATTGGTCAAGGCAAAATCAAATTTTAACAGTTTAAAATTAGATAACAGTTCAAAAAATGTGAAAAAATGCACATTAGATAACCACTCCCGTCTAAATATTCTGATCTGTTTTTTTCCTACACTTTTGCAACAAGGCAGTTCCATGATCTCAAGACTGCAATGTTCAGTTTCTGTCCATGCTATTCATTTATCCAACAACAATCTCTGGTCTCTATTCTCGATTATGCTTTCTCCGTAAATGGAACACTAATCTCTCTCTCTCTCTCTCTCTCTCTCTCATCAAGTTTTGTTTAACTAATTTGCATACTTTGTAAAGGTTAATAGCTAGAATTGTATCATACAATTGATGTGATGAGAAAAAGAGAAAGAGAGACAATGGTGTTGTTTGGTGCAGCACATTGTAAGCTAAAAGCTAATAGTCCCAACGCAAAAGCTAAAAGCATCCCTCTACCTATGTTACATGGACTCTTCTATTTCCCCCACAATACCCGTGTCCACCGGACAGTGTTATTAAAAGCACGCCTAGGCGCAAAGCCCAGCCATGCCCACCCCTTGTGCCTTGCAGTGGTCAAGGCGAGGCGATTTCACTAAGGCGTGATCAAAGCGCATGACTCGAGCTAGGCGCATTTAAGCCCAAGGCGTAGGCCTTGAGGGCTTCTTTTTTTTTTTTTTTTTTCCATACAAATTGGACCACCAAGATTTCATGGGTCAGCTAGAGCAGATTATTTCCTTCAAATATACTTGAAGATTTAGCCCAAATCAGCGACCACGAAAGAAACACCAAGCCCTAATCCAAATCTCCAAAAACGTTCTTCTCTTCCAGTCATCTTCCAGCGCAGGCCTCAGTCGTCTTCCAGTCCAGGATGTGCAGGTATGTTCTTCTCTTTGTTTCTTTGTCTCTTCTTCCCCTTCTCTTCGTCTACTTGTTCGTCAGTCTTCTCAGTCTTCGTCTTCTTCTTCTTCTTCGTTTGTTCTTCTCTTCGTTAGTCTTCTTCTTCGTCTTTACTTTTTTGCTTATACCTATATGCCTTCTTTTTCTTTTATTTTTTGCTTTTCTGCTTTTCTTCTTCTCTTCTCTTTTTTTTTTTTTGTTGCCTTCTCGTCTATTTGAACCTTTTTTTTTTTTATTCTGAATTGCTCTGTTTCTTCTCTACTTCTATGATTTAGATGGCATCTAAAAGTACAAGAAAAGATCCTGCATGGAAATATGCACATCAGTTAGATCCTAAGAACCCAAATCAATTCAAGTGTAATTTTTGTGGTAAAGTATCTAATGGAGGGGTTTATAGAGTCAAACAACATCTTATTGGAGGTTCAAGGAATGTCACAGCTTGTAAAAAATGTCCACCTGATGTTAGGGAAGAGATAAAAGAGTATATAGGAAACAAGAAAACACAGAAAGAGCAAATGAACTTGTTGCCTCATTTTGATGAGATGAACAATGATCTTGAAGAGGATGAAGATGACATTGCTTTTGAGATTCATCGACCTCGTGGACCAAGTGGTAAATCATTGCCAAGCAATCAAAATAGTTCTTTTGCTGGATCAAAAAGGTTGAAGAAGAAGGGGCCCATGGATGTATTCTACACACCCAATCCTGATTTTGTGGTGCAAAATAGCAAAAGGAAAACAAACAACAATTGATCACAATGATCTTTATAAGAAAGAATTAAGAGACCGAGCAGTGATAAGAATCACAAGGTGGATGTATGATGCAGGTATAGCTTTTAATGCGGTTAGTTATGATAGCTTTGGACCAATGGTTGAAGCTATTGGGCAAACCTCCCAGTTTCCATGAAGTGCGGGTTCCATATCTGAAGAAAGAGTTGAATCATACAAATGAGTTGATAAGAATTCATAAAGGGGAATGGGTGAAATATGGGTGTTCCTTGATGTCAAATGGATGGACTTCGCAGAATGGGTGGACTTTGATTAATTTTTTAGTCAATTGTCCTAGAGGAACTATGTTTGTTGAGTCCATCGATGCTTCAAGCTATTCAAAGGATGGGCAAAAACTCTTCGAACTACTTGATAAGGTTGTGGATGATGTTGGAGAAGTTAATGTAGTCCAAATTATTACAGATAGTGCCTCAGCTAATGTGTTGGCTGGTAATAATCTTTTGTCTTGATTCTTAAAAAATATGTACTTACTAGCTAGTTAGTTAGTTAGTTTAGTTGTTATTAAATAATCTTCTATGTTTTGTTTCTATAATTTTAAATAGGTAAGTTTTTGGAGGCAAAGAGACCGCACTTCTTTTGGACACCATGTGCAGCTCACTGCTTGGATTTGATACTGGAAGATATTTTCAAATTGCCACATATGAAGAAGACATTTGACAGGGCTATTCGGGTACACGGTTATATTTATAACTGTCCAGGTGTGTTGAATATGATGAGGATGTTTACACAGTTAAAGAATTTGGTTAAGCATGCAAAGACAAGATTTGCAACAACCTTTCTCACTCTATCTAGGATTCATCAACAAAAAAACAACTTGAGAAAGATGTTCACTTCGGAGGAATGGACAAGCTCCAAATGGGCAAAGGAGCCAAAGGGTAAACAAGCAACACAGATTATGTTGATGCCATCATTTTGGAATTTGGCTGTCTATGCTCTAAAGGTCTCAGGTCCACTTGTGCATGTGCTTAGGTTGGTTGATTCTGAGAAAAAACCTGCCATGGGATGCATTTATGAGGCTATGGATAGGGCTAAAGAAAGTATTGCAAAGTCATTTAATGAAAAAGAAGAAAAATACAAGAACATCTTTGAAATCATTGACAATAGGTGGAATATCCAGTTGCATCAACCTCTTCATGCAGCTGGCCATTTTTTGAATCCGGAGTTCTTCTATTGTAATCCAAGTATTGAGCATGATACTGAAATCATGTCAGGGTTGTATAAGTGTGTGTCAAGGTTCGTTCGAGGCACTGACATTCAAGATAAAATCACTCAAGAAATGAGTATTTATACAAAATCTGAAGGTTTCTTTGCGATGCCACTAGCAATTAGGCAGAGAATGACAAGGGCACCAGGTAATTCATTTTGCACCGTTAACTTTTTCATGCCTCTAGATTAAATCAAAAGTTTCTAGTTGTGCTAAAATTTGTTGCAATTTACAGCGGATTGGTGGTCTGCATATGGTTCTTCAGCTCCAAATTTGCAAAAGTTTGCCATAAAAGTTCTTAGCTTAACCTGTAGTGCATCTGGTTGTGAAAGAAATTGGAGTGTATTTGAGCATGTGAGCATCTACCTCAAGTTTGGTGAATTCCTTTTTTTTTTTTTCCTTCTCATATGGTAAATTTTAATACATTCTCTTATTCTTGTAGCTCCACAACAAAAAAAGAAATAGGTTGGAACAACAATGTCTCAATGATTTGGTATTTATTAAGTACAATAGACAATTGAGACGTCGATATGATATGTGTGACACACTTGATCCCATCACTCTAACAAATATTGATGAAAGCAATGAGTGGTTGGTTGGGATGATGGATGGAGAAGAGGATGAAGATAACGATAATGTGTTTGATGATGAAAGTTTGACGTGGGGTGATGTTGCTAGAGCTTCTGGTGTTCGGGAAAGAAATAAGCGAACTAGATCAACAACTTCAAAGACACCATCATCGTCGAGGGCGAGGGCAAGGGGTTCTAGATCATCAAATGCATTGATAGATGAGGAAGAGGTAGATTCAAAGGAGACAGAAGAGGACGATGTAGAAGGATACAAATCCAATGATGAAGAAGAAGATTATGAATTGCGTGCTGTTGATTTTGAGGATGATGACGATTGTGTTAGAATTTCCCATCTTTACCTTCACCTACTCCACTACACACTCCACTTCACCTACCTCTACTCCACTACACACTCCACTTCACCTAACCCACTATCACCTCCACTACACCTACTACCACATTACCTTCACATACTCCACTACACACTCCACTTCACCTACCTCTACTCCACTACACACTCCACTTCACCTAACCCACTATCACCTCCACTACACCTACTACCACATTTTCTTCTATATATAGATTGTATAGGAATTGTAATTAATGAGTCTTGTAATCTATCAATCAATATATCAATCAATAATAATACATACAATTTATTCTCTCTCTTTCTCTATACATTATTTCTTACAGTTAGATCCTCATTGGATAAATGGAAGCAAAGACTTTATGTTTTGTTGGTTTAATTTGTTGATGTTTTGAAATGCATGCTTAAACTTGAAATATTGTTATTAGTTGACTTTTAGATCATGGATATTCGCGTTTTATGTTTTGAAATGCATGCTTATACTCATTTGTATCTGAGAATATTATATAATATGCAATATATATGTGCATGTGGCGTGTCCCCATACCCATATCCAATTTTAGATATGTA